AAACATTAGAAAAAAATAAAAATCAAAGATAAAAAATATTAAAAAAAAAAAAAAAAAAAAAAAAAAAAAAAAAAAAAAAAAAAAAAAAAAAAAAAAATCTAACGAGTGTTTGATATATATATATATCTGTCCAGAACGTAATATTTCATGATTATCTGTAAGGCTAAATAATCCTTTTAATTTATTTTTCTTTCTTAAAATATTAGTCTCATATTTGTGGCCAAAATTCCAAAGTCTGAAACAATTAACTCCCAGGATCTTTTGTAGACAATGCCAGTAACTGAATATCACCCCAGCATCACAAATTGTAAATTTCATAATAAGCATATGGCGGACGTACACATTTTTGAGATAGGAACAACATAAGCAACTTTTACTTCAGAGTTCCGAAATGATATAAGGAAATATATCTTAGAATTCTAACCAATTCTTGTGAAAGCGATGTGTTTTAAAGTGTGAAATAACATCATGGAGACTATAAGAAATCTGTTCTTATCTACTGGCTTTTTGGCGGTAACGGACATATCTTTGGGTTTCGGTGTTCGGAATGTGGTGTCTGGATCTTGAACTGGTCTCTAAACTGTAGTCTTCTCTTTCCCTCTCTCTCTGGCTCTCTGAATCTCGGACCGAAATTCATACGGATAGAAATATAGAACACCCAGTCGAACAGTTGATTCCGCAGTCATTTTCTGTTGCCACGAAACGTGTCACAATCCCCGGGCAATGCCTCGATTCATACCAGCGTATTCGTTGCCGCGGAAACGTTTTTCATTTAGCCGTTCTAACAGAAACTTAGTGTTTATTTAGTCGTTGCTCATCAAGGGATGTCTGCCTCTGGCTTCACTATTCCAACTTTCAGGCGTCATCATTATCGTCACCGTCGTCTCACTCAACAATTTAGATGTCTTGAGATAGTTCAAATGGAATAACTAATCAAAATGAATTCCAATTAGCCCACTACGCAAGTCACAGGTTGGTTTAGTGCATACGGTAATTAGGTCACAAAGTCGACGGTCAGCTGTAGAATGACTATGCATTTAATTTTAACTACGAATTTGAGTGAGGGTGGCACTAAACTAGATTACTCTTACTCTACCAGACAGATGGAACTTGGCCTGGGGTGGGATAAGCGTCAGAACTTTGTTTTTGCTAAATATGGTTTGCTGCAATGTTTGTATACTTCGATAATATTACTGATGGACACTGACCTTATGAGTTGTTTATGCTGAGATGTTCTGATCAACTGCTATATATACGTGTCTCGGTCCTTCGCTTTGACGTAATTAAAAATATAACATTAAACAAAGCCTATAGGAAATTCCGTCTAGATAAACATAGGTAAAGCTAAAGTTATCCCTGTGCTTAACTATTCAAGCACTACTCCATGAAGAAGTATGTGTGAGTGAATGTGTAGACCCATATTTTATGACCTCGACACTACTTGGCGGTGAGTGGTTAGCTTTACGTCCCGTCCGCTTTACCCGCGGGGAAAGAGCCCCCGGTACCCTTTGGATAGCAGGTTGGGCCGACCCCAGAGCAGGTCCGGACAACGTGGAAAAGAGAAAATTCTTAACATTATCGGGACTCGAATTCCAACCCCTCGGTGGTCCAGCCCGTAGCCAGTCGCTACATCGACTACGCCATCCAGGGTCCCAAGATAAATATATAATTTTTATATTTCCTGTTCACACTGGGCTTAAACGCCGGTTACGGTACCCGAGCAGTCTAAGGCATGTGCTGTCTTCGCTCGCTTGGAAACTGGGATTGTGGGTTCGAATCCTACTCAGGACATGGATGTTTAGTTTGTGTGTGTGCGTTTTTCTGTGTTTGTGTACAGGTAGAGGCCTTGCGACGAGCTGATCACCCGCCCAAGGAGTCCTACCGAATATGTAAGAACTATAAAAACCGAAGTGAACGGAGAAGTTCATGGAGGTAGGCCTAGGCCCACTGGAGCTGTAGTGCCAAGGTGGGGGGGGGAAATGGGCTTAAGCATTAACATCCCTTACAGCCATCAGTTTTCACCTTCGCTTTATAGTACGCTAATATGAAGTTTTAAGGAAATCAGTAGATAATCGAATGGAACAAGGCATGTCGCTTTCTGGTTTAAGCTGACAATGCTGATTTATTGCAAGAAAAAAACAAATCCCTTATATAACAGCTCAAAAACTACCGCATTAAACACCAGTAAGGATGTTGGTTTGAAAGTAAACACCGAAAGTGCTAAGAATTTATACGTTAATCTCTCGTTAACAGACTGCAGGGCAACATTATAATGAACGTATTGTAGGGGCAATAAATAATTCCACAATGCGGTGTATTTAAAATAAG